GAATATCTACAATAAAAGAAGAAATTGTTAGCTTCAATGAACGCTACAACTCCCGTTTAGCCAAACATCCCAACTCTTTAGCAAAAAATTTACTAGAAACAAATGAACTAGTACGAAGACWAAAAAGGTTHTACCCTTCTGACCTTAAAACAAGATTTGAATGATTTAAAACATCGTAATATTATTTGAGACTAATGTATTATATCTACACTCACCATTCTATATATTATTCATGTACATTTCATGTTATTACATCACGTCAGCCTAAAGTGCTTATAATTCTCGTCGAGAATTGATTGTATGTTCTGTAATGAATAAAAAAAAAAAAAAAAATGTTTTGATATATATAAAACAAAAAAAACGTAGAAATTGAGAGACATGTTTGGACAATAGGAAAGATTCGAAAGGACGGTATCTTCCGATTCTTCGTAGTTTGATAGGATACAAAAGTAAGGACAATTAGTGAATGGAAACGATTCAGCGGAAGTGACATCGGCAAGTCGATTTGTCGTGATCCCTCTATAAGGGTGCACGACATTCGCACAAACACCTATTATCGCGATACCCACGAAAAGAAGAAGACCACCCACTAGCTTCTCTTCTCCCCTATTTCGTGAAGGAAAATATTGCTATAGCATTTTTACGACTAACGATTCGTTTTCATATCGTAGAAAAGGTTTTTTGTCAAAGAGTCTATTATTGACAAGTCCAATATTTTATCTAAAAGCGAGATAAACGATAGAGATCATTTCTTTTTTCAGTTCCATTAATAATAATCTTACAAAATTGTTCAACGTTTTAAATCGAAAGCATATGGAACCATAGAAACGTTAATCTAATAAATCTGTTAGCACTAATCGCTTTAATAATAAAACATAAATTGAATTTTTATATTACGGAATGAAAGAGACGACAAACATCTAGTATAGACACGTTTCTTGTATCGAATTCGAGGATAAGCGGAGAGAATCTTGCCTTGATACTAATTGGCGATGAGAGAGATAGTATTAAAAAAAAAAAAAAAAGATTAGACGAAAGATAGACACGTCGTGGAATAGCTCGTTTAATCCAATGCGACGGGGAGAGATTATTACCGGGAAGAAACTTTTTTTCGTTTGATCGTCTGAGGAGAAACAAAATAGAATAAAATAAAATAAAATAAAATAAAATAAAAATAAAATAAAAATAGAGAAGACAAAAATTTTAAATTCGTTAGAAAACGTGCATAGGCTTCGTAAAAATGTTGTTAACGCAATTTGGATAGAGAGGTTGGATAGATGGATTGTTAGAGAGAAATATTGGTGGATATCTAGGAAAGAAGAGAGGTCGAGTAGGAAGTGATGGTGGTGGTGGTGGTGGCGATGGTGGAGCTGATGGAGTAGGAGGAGGATGAGGTGGAGAGTGTAGGTACGCTTCATTCGCGCGTTAACAAAGAGGCCCCAGGGTGGCTTCGCAAACAGAAACCGGAGACCGTGGTCTGTGTATGAATTTCCGCAGCTGGCTACGGGAGACAAACAGATAGCTAGTTATTTCTGCATTCAACGGCTGAATGGCCGACGCGTCTGGAACGACGCTATGCCGCGATACAAGCGGCTATTATTGGCGAAGCGCGTCGAGCACGTTCGAAGAATTCCAAGGCGACTGCTATCATCGTTTCTTCCTTTTCTTCTTCTTCTTCTTCTTCTTCTTCATCCTCTTCTTCTTCTTCATCCTCTTCTTCTTTAGCGTCAAAACTCGAGGAGAAGATGGAGGAGGATGTTTCTTTATTTGTTCTTTTCTCTTCTTTCCTGTAATTCCTTTTTTATTTCTATCTCTTTTTCCCTTTCTTCTTCTTCTTCTTCCTCTTCTTCTTCCTTCACGGCAACTAAGGAAGACTTAATTATCTTGCATTCGTCGCCATCGCTCTTCGTCGGCCACGGTGTGTCGTCTTTAAAAAAATACACAATGACGTCCCTACCGCACTCGTCTCTTTCTCTCTCTCTCTCTCTCTCTCTCTCTGTTTTTCATTCACAAAAGAAACTCATTCTTCATAAACACTATCCTCGTATACACGGAGAAATGAAAACGCTCGAGACAAATGATAAAAGGGGTAACGCGATAGATAAGAAATTTGTTATTCAATCTTATCCGTAAGATTAAAAGAATGCTATGATAGATATTAAAGATGTTGTGTTTGTAGAAAATTTCTTTTTAGAAGAAACATTTAGAAACATTAGAAATAGTTGGTAGCGAAAGGAGTCTCTTTCGGGTTTTCTTTGGAACCGAGGTGTAATCCATTGGGCGTAGAAAAGAGCGAAAAAGGAAGTGTTGTTAGGGACGGGAGGAGGGAGGTGGGGGGGGGGAGGAGGTAGAGTTTGTGTGTGAGAGGAACGCAAACCGAGACTAAGACTGCATGTAAATCATCCGGACAAAGCCGCTTAACGATCCGACAAAGGGAATCCTTCGCGATCCTTCGTCCACGAATTATAGAATCGGGAATACGCACATTCGTTTCCTCTTTTTTTCGTCTCCTTTATTTGGCAGTCGGTCGTTGGAACGATTCAATGAGAGAAAGGGACAGATAGATGAATAGACAGATAGGAAAGAAAGAAAGAAAGAGAGAGGATACCATCTTTGTCGCAAAGATGCTACGCCGACGACTATCGTTAGAAAATTTATAGCCATTAGTGAGTTTGTCCTCACGCACGGATAAGCCAATTCTTTAGTAATCTTTCTTCTTATTTATTTTTATCTGCTTTTTCTTTCAGATTCCATTTTTATTTTACGTATCATGTATTATTGCAGAAAACAAAAAGATTTAATTACAAGTTAGAAGTAAGAGCTGTACGTATGTGTCTGTATTTTTGTTATTTTTGATAAAATGAAAAATAATTCTTTACAAAATAATTATAGAACAGAATAATTATCTGCTTACAGGTTGTCAGTTCTATGGACGCGATGAAATATTCAATGGAAGCTGACAAATATCGTGCCGCTTACATGCCACCAAGCACATTGGCGATGAGCATGTACTCCGATCCGAAGTATCTCGATTCAAGTCCAAAATACCTCGACCGTAGCTACCTGGATTCGGCGAAGGCATATTTCGAGCAATCGAAGATTTACATAGACCCAAAACCATCGATATCCGATTACACTAGACCAAGTTACGAACCGAACAAACTTTACGAAGAATCCAGTCCTGGTAGCGTAACTGGTGGTGGTGGTGGTGGTGGTGGTGGTAGTGGTAGTAATGGTGGGGGTGGGGGTGGGGGTTAGTATAGGTGTAGTATAATTAAATCCGAAGGACGTGCCGGTCGGTAACTTAATTCCCACGAGTTGTTGTATGNGTAAAGTAAAGGAGAATAGAAAGAACACTTTTTCTCTTTTATCGCAAACGGGTTTGGTTGTTCCGTTAAGGGGTTGGGGGTGGGGGTGGTGGGGGCGGCTCAACAAGGTCACCAGCTGCGGATTCTCCAGATATTAATAAACAACACGAAAGAACGGAACAAGGATCGTCCAGTGGTAGCTCAACGTCCACGTCATCAGCAGCGAGTCCTGGTGCCAGTTTATCGACTTATTATCCGGGTCCAGTCCAAGCAAGTGGTCTTCTAGGACCACAGATGGGTCAATACGGTACCTATCAAACGACCCCAGCACCAGGAAACGACTCATTCCGGCGTCCACTCACTGTCATCTTCTGACCCGATAGAGCATAGCTCTGATCCATTTTTGAAGAGCAATCTACCTGAATACAACGAGTTATAGCTCGAATCAGGGTAACGTGATTCACTATGAAAATTTACAACAAAATCCAACTATAACATAAGTAACCGTGAATCGTATAAGATTTTCACCACGTGTCCAAAATTTTTCGTTATTATTCTATTTTTTCATTGCAAATGTATGGTGATTATTATTTTATTTATGATCTTTTTATGTTATTTTTCTGTCTTTTATTTATTATTTATATCTTTTTTTCGTTTTTAATGTGACAATCATAATGGAATGAATATCCGAATTATTTTCTATTGCAAATTCATCATTATAAATGGTATATTATTTTACTATACATGGAATTTTCTGCCAAAAATGAATACGATCTCAAACATAAGGTTTACCGTAGTTGTCCTGGCTCATAATATACAAAAGAATAAAATATTGTTTATTGAATATTATATATTAAATAATGATATATTTTAACAATTTGCCCATATGAAATTTATATATTTTTTTCTTTTCATTTACGGATTCGTGGTTAGAAAGTGCCGAAAAAAGTAAAAATAATAACAAATAACGAACCAACGAATCGCTGTCGTTTATGTATTTATTTAGAAAAGAGAGAGAGAGAGAGAGAGAGAGAGAGAAAGAGAGAGAGAGAAATAGAAAAAGAAAGAGAGAGAGAGAAAATGAGAGAACGTGAATATTTGAATATCTTTGAATATTCATATTCGTCGAAAGACGAAGATTCGTAAAAAATAGATATACATAAATAAATGAAGAAAAATAAAAAAAGAAAAGAAAGAAAAAGTCGGGTTGTTCAAACGGTCATTAAAGGGAGGTGACAATTTTGACAAGTATATAAGTGTACGCGAACCGCGAAGATCCGATTATATTTGATGATATATTATGAAGGATTTGTAAATAAACTCCCTCGTGTAAATAGTTTAGCAAGAAAGAGTAAACTTTCTCACGTCAGTACGAAGACGCTCGGAAATTTTCACTCTTCTTCCCTTCGATCGGGTCTTTATCGCCTTTTTCTTTTAAACTATGATTTAATTTTCTTCTTTTTTGTTCCAAAGGATCGTACAATTATTTTACATTTCAATTAAAATCCTACCTATTTGATTGGTACAATTATAAAGAGTTTTGTTAAAATTGCATTAAACATGTTTTACAGTTTTAATTTATTCTTTTTTTATATAAATACACTATTTTATTTTATTATGTTTTGTATTATTGCCTTTTTCTTTTGTTATTCTCTACAATCAAATTAGATTGACGTGAGACAAAATTGTAATCGTGATATAATTACAACTATGAACGTCAGTTTTTTAGATTGAATAAAGTATCCGATTAATAAAATGTGAGATCTACGACTCCATGCCAAATATTATTAGGTATTCGTGATAAAGTTGACCAAAAAGGGCCCTGGATAGCTTAATGGGAAAAGCAATCTCCCGAAAAGTGAAAGAATCCTGGGTTTGAGTCCTGGGTCCAGTCAGTCCAAAGGTTCAACTTTTTTCACGAATCCTATAAAAATAAAAAAAATGATCGTTTTAGAACTAATTGCATTATTTTGATACCACGTGTATCTTCGTCCATCTTGTCTCATCGAAAGTGTTTAAATTTTGAGGGAGATAGGAAATAGGAGAGAATAATATACGTGGATTAAAAAAAAATTGTCGAAAGTTAGGCGAAATCACCTTTTAACCCTCTGAGCGTCAAAGTTTTTAGGAATGTTAATGATGTGTTAATGATAGTGGGGATACAGCCAATTAAATTGAAATGTTAAGCGTTGATTAACACGTTCGCGGACGTGAATACTATATCACTCAAGTTTTAGAGAATCAATTATATTTATTTAATGTTATATATAATCTTAAATTTTTTTAATTATTATGCATTCCAAAGTAATGACCAACCGATTCATTAGCCTGTTTACTTTTACAGCTCACTGAAATTGTTACTGTCCGCAAATGTGTTAAAATGATAGTATTAGTGTTAGTTTGTCCACGTGTCCCCATCTCTATCACTTATTTCAGTAAATCAGTGTAGTAAAACCAACGATTGTGAGAATTTAATAGAAAATAAAGCACACGATCAGAAATGTGAGTGATATCAATATTTGCTTTATGAATGAATTGTCATCGTATTTTTTAAAGTAATCAATCATGTAATATAACAAATTTAAATATTATTATTTTAGTTTATAATCAGTAATAAATAAACAAGTAGGTTAGTATTATTTAACATTTTCTTACAGTACACGACTATTTTTAGTACGCTTTTGTTCCCGTAACGTTTTGAAACGCTTATAGTTGGTTATGATCAGAATGAAAAATTACTTTGATGATCAGAGGGTTAAGTACCCTTCCCGCTGTACGATGTATAACCTTTATATTTGTATCGTTACGATAAATCATAAACTTTACTGATTATTGGAGTATTCCATTACGAGCGGCAAAAGTAATCTATAAATATTATACTGTAAGTAAGAAAGTAAAAATAAACGTTAAATTTAATCCTGCAAAATAATAGATAAAGTGTAGCGCGTTATCTTCCTCGTGATTGTCCTAATTTATTTCATCTTATCAATCGATTTATCATCGAATGAACGCATATTCGGCAGAACGTACAAGTAAGTGGGAATAATATTTGTTTTATTTAAATATTCGATTGTTATATTAAACGAACAATATCATTATTTTTATATTATAACAGTTTAATAGAATCTTCGTGTTAACAATTTTCATTGCAACATTTTTCTTTTTTAAAATTCATGCAACGTAACAAAATAAATCCGGAAATGTAAGATTAGTATTATTAGCTAAAGAAAAGAATCTTTTTCTATTTCTTTTCATTTCTTTTCTACGTTCCTAGACAGCTATTCTTCTGTTGATTTTCGAAGACAATCGAATAGGGGATGTATGCTATCCGTCAAAATAACTGAAACTCTCTTTGCTTTGACGCACAATACCCATCGAAATCTGAAACGCATTTTGTCTGCAGACATACCCATATAGTGCATGAGAAAAAAAAAAAAAGGAAAGAAAGAAAGGAAGACATTTTCCGAGGTATACAAACGTATATTGTGGAAAAGAAAAAGCTTAAGAACTTTGACAGGGAATAATAAGACAGCTGCTAAAGAGACATTTGGAATATTCGAAAGGTTCGATTCTTCACACCTTTCGTATTCACGAAAGAAAATACCTGTGTTCGCGATGATTTCGCATTGGTTAACTTATTTTTCTTTATTCATTTTTATTTTTATTCTTATTCTTATTCCTATTCGTCATTTTGTATCTTAAGAATCGAGTTTGATCTCAAGCGTTGGCGGTTTACGAGGAACTAATTTAATATTATTCACGTGGCACGAATATAACTCTCGTGCGACCATTAAAAAGAGAAAGATTTGGACGGGTGAAGATTAACGAACAAAAGAAACAAAAAAAACCTAGAAAAAGAGAGAGATAGAGATAGATAGATAGATAGAGAAAGAGAGAGAGAGAGAGAGAGAGAGAGAGAGAGAGAGAGAGAGAAGAGACTTCAGTGACGCTGGACTTTCGTTACGGAAAAGACCTAACGAGCAGTTAGATGATGAAGAGAATAAAAGAAAAGAAAATAATAACAAAAAATAGAAGAGGAAGGCCTGTCCGTCTGTCTCTTTTCGTACCGATAAAAGAAGGCACACGGTAGCGTCTTCGAGTCTTACGATAATAAGGCACCTATTTCTCCCTCTACCTCTTCCCTCCCTCTCTCTCTTTCTCTCTCTCTCTCTCTCTCTCTTTCTCTTACGGGTTCGCGAGAACGGTGATTACCGACTTATGCACGCCTCTCGGCACGACAAACTGACAATTTTCACCGTCATTATCCTCTCGAGAGGCATGCCATTGTTTCTGATCTCTGAAGGGCCATTATGCTGTCGAGCATAGAGCAAGTGTGTGCGAGAATTTGAGAGAGAGAAAGAGAGAAGTATGCACGTTGGGCGGAAAAGAGACGAGAAGAGGGTGCCGGAGGCTTCGGAACAACCCCAACTGGTGCCTCGGAGAAATCCTAAAGTCGGAAGGCCGTTCCTACTGATGCCACGTTCCTCTTCCTCTACTTCCCATCCTCTTCTCCCTCCCATGGACGACTCTTCAGGCCCTCAGCTAGCTTCTCATTAAATCCATTATACCGAGTGAGCAACGATGAACTCGAGTCGAACTCAGCCGTCATATCCGAGAGCTTAGACAGATCGTTTAGCTGGAATCTAAATCATCTTTCCTCGACCATTGTCTCTCTCTCTCTCTCTCTCTCTCTCTCTCTCTCTCTCTCTCTCTCTCTCTCTNTCTCTCTCTCTCTCTCTCTCTCTCTCTCTCTCTCTCTCTCTCTCTCTCTCTATCTATCTATCTATCTATATCTATCTCTATCTCTATCTCTTCCTATCTATATTATAGTTAGGTATCCGTCCGTCTCATTCTCATGGTCAATGTAGCGCGATAAACATCCCACGACTTCATTAGTACCCGCTGACTTTGGAATGCACGCGGTTCCTACTACCATCTAAAATATCCTAGAACAGGATTAGAGAAATGGACTTACGGTCCACCTAATTTTCATTCTTACTATCTCTACTGATCTTATTCTTGCATAGATTTTATATTATTTTTTAACTTGATTTTTATATATATTATAGAATTAATAATATATTTAATTAATAATACTAGCTCGTGTGTGGTAGCTTCATTTACACGATATCTGTTTTGGAATATTCGAGTTTATTATATATAGATATATATATATATATATATACCTTTCGAGTAACCATTTATTAATTACTGGTTGTTTCTTCCGGTCAACAATTTTAATGAATCGTCCTGCTATTATCCTCAAGTTCTCGATTGGATTTTCTTATTGTTATACAGTGACAGTCTCATAATCCTTTGACGTAATACATAAATAAGAAATAAAATAATGAAAAAATAATGTATAAATTAATGATCATATTAAAAAAATATATAAAATAACAGTGAATAATTCTAACCTTATTCATTCGAGGAAAGCTAATTATTTCCTAAGTAAATACTTAACTGTGTAAGTTACGTTGGAACGTGGTTAACGCTTTCTAAGACTAAACTCGATCAGGGATAACAGGGATAAATCGAGAAATGCGATTGGAATAATTAATAATGCTCGCACGTGCGTTCACTTGTGAATGTATTTCTCGATTGGCGTTGGTAGCTGATCGAGTGGTGTACGAAGCGAGATCTCATCTCTCGAAGGTACACACGTATTACGTTAGTAGGTATACATATGTATGTATGTATGTATGTAAATGTGTGTATACGTGTACGTGCGACAAGAGGGAGAACGAGTAGCGTGGATAATTAATCGTCGATCATTGTTTTCCCAACGTGGCACGATTCGTCGTCCCGTTTTATAGCCCTCGTCTCTCGAAACAACATTGACTCGGTAACTTGCATGCTTGCTTGCTTGCTCGCTAGCATGTTTGCTTGGATGCTTGTTTGCTTGTTCGATCACTTCTTCCTTTTTTATTTCTTCCTTTCTTTCTTTATTTCTTTATTTCTTTCTTTCGTTCTTTCGTTCTTTCTTTCTTTCTTTCCTTTTTTTTCTCTCTCCCTTAACTCTTTGGTTCTCTTCTACAGGCAAGAAGAATCTTTAAACGTGCGCACGTTGGGTGCTTTCAAAACTCGAGTGGCAAAATTGCATCCGGAGAAATCGTATCGCGCCTACTGTAAATCGATGCATGCATGTAATTTCGAGAGCTTGCAAGAAAAGATCGTCGCGTTCCAATTATTCCCGTGACTTCTTCTTACCAACGATGGAAGGAAAATGTAATTAACCCTTCAATGACGTGATTTAATTTTATTTTATTTATTTATTTTTTTCTTTTTTTGGTGTGAGAGAAAAATTTTTTTAGCGAGCGAAATATTATATATTAATTAGCTTAGAAATAAATCTTCAACGTAAATTTACGAGAAAAATTTGTTGTATATAATAATAATTTTAAATCAATACTTGATCGAGCTATTAAAATAATTCAAATAATGATGAATTTTTTAAATTTTAAATAAATGGCTTGTAAAAATCTCAAAAACATGAATATTAAAAAATTAATTAATGAGTTATAGAAAAATTATTATTTTATGAAATACCGTTTTCAAAATCGTATATATGTTTTGTCATTAATTTTATAATCAATTTTTATTGAAATATTGGAAAAAAAGAATAGAAAGTAAAATAAAATTGTAAGAGAATGATCGTCTAATCGTTTAATCTCGGTCGAGGTCTTGCTTATTTGTGGAGTAATTATTTAGAGTAGTAGCAGGTACACCTACTCGGAATGGAATCAACGACAACGATGATCGGCGTCTCCTCTTGTTTATGCTAGTCGATCCATGCTTGCTCACTCGCTGGAACACCCACTGTTGGTTGCTGCGCAAACATTCGATGGGGTGAGAACGATAGAGAGAGGGGTTTTAGGCAAACTCCACCCCATTATGTCTCGCTCTTCCTGAATTATTACAATCGAGAAATGGAATACTTAGAATTCTCCTTCCTTTTCCTTTTCCACGAGTCAGCACGTTCTGTTTTTTTATTTAATTATCGTCTGTAAATAACGCGAGCCAACACGTGATCAATCGAACGTACACCTGTTTACATTTAACGCTGACACGTGCTTACGAACAAACGTGCATTAGGGAATAAATAAATAAAATAATAACGAATGCTTGTATTTTAAATATTGAAAAAAAGAAGAAGAAGAAGAGAGAGAGAGAGAGAGAGAGAGAGAAAAAACGATTTTTTAATTATTTCACATTTCGATCGTTCGTTTAATTCCGAATTGAAATATTCACTGGTGACACGTGCTCGCGTGTATAAACGTATTAGAATATAATTAACGCATGGTTGGATTTTAAATATTGAAAAAAAGAAATTAAAAAGAACCGATTTCTTTATTATTTCACATTTCGATTATTTAAAATCCGAATTTTAATTTTATATTAAAGTCCAAATCGATACAATGTAATTATAAAAAGTAAATTGATAAAAAGTATGACGAATATTATTTCGCTGACACTGTTTTCTTTATTCATATACACATCTAACTGTATAAACTCGAATTGGTTTCGTTGTAAAGAACCTGCTGCATAGTATAACAGCATTCCAAAAGACCATAGAACTCGTCTCGAACGAGATTTCTCTCTTCCTCTCTCTCTTACCACATTCTCTTCTTCTTTCTTTCCACCAACGTTCTACATTTCGACATTTCCAGTTTAATAACGTTCGCCTCGAGAATCAGCAGCGTAGAAGATTCTCAATAATCTCAAAAAAAGAAGTGAAAGTCGCGTAGGTATCACAAAAATAAAAATAAAAATATATCAAAAGAATCTCTTACAGAAATAAATATTATATTGAAAAAAAATACGCCTGTGTGGAGTTTAATCGTTTAAACCAGTTTAAATATATAACATGTATACCTCTGGCATTAGAAGTATAACTAATTCAAAATAGAAAATTTC